CATCAACACCTTTGTTTCTAGATGTTGGAGCTTGGCCTGTTTTCCAGTGTAGTCCTGTTTCTCTGACTGTGACTGTCTTCCATCGTCTGTATTTTATGATTGTAAAATATAACTTTTGATAACAAAAAAACATGAAAAAATAGGAGTTTTAAAACTGACTGAACTTTAAGACTCTTCACCTGTTTGAATATTTAAGATGTTAAAATTCTTATCTTACAAAACTTATTCCGTAAAAATTCAAAAAAATAAAAAACAATATCCACCGGACTTGGTTTCCAAGATTTGAAGACGTTTCTCCACCTCTCCAGGAAGCTTTCTCAATTCAAATGTCTGGATCCGCAGTGAGTTTGAGTCTTATATAGACTTATCCTATGGATATTTTTTGAATTTTTACGGAATGACTATGACCTGGATGACTGAGAACCTTCATGAGCATACTTACAAAACTTAAAAATAATGGAATAAAAGTAAGAAAATATTCTGAAATAAAATTTTTATTGACATATTTTGTAGCATTTTTGTTTTGTTTGGAAAAGTCCCCAGCCAGAAGCTCATACTTATTTATGCCAAATTAATCAGAATTTGTCTGAATATTCCTCTGTTCTGTTTGGAGGAAGTTTTATTTTTCTGGATTTCACAGGAACTCGGTTAGGGATGATTAAACCAATGAAGATGCGAGTCTGCAGAAGAACAACCACACATTTTTTCACAGTTTCTGTGTTTTATTGAAGATCAGGTTGGATCTGGAGTAAAGCTGCTCAGCATGCTTAGTTGGCAGCAATGATCTGGTCGGCCCAAGCACGCAGCTTGGTGACACGGGCGTAGACTCCGGGGCTGCTGGTGGAGCAACGGCTGCTTCCCCAGGAGACGATACCCACCAGGGTCCAGGCGCCGTTCTTCTGGCAGACCAGAGGACCACCAGAGTCGCCCTGAGGAGAAGAACAGCGACACCCCAGCAGGTTAAATGAAAACTGTGAGGTCAAACAGGGGGAACAGAACTGGATCAGAATGAAACTCTCACCATGCAGGAGGAGGCACCGGAGGCTCCGGCACAGATCATCAGGTCGGTGATCTGGCTGCCCCAGTAAGTGCTGCACTGGGAGTTGGTGAGCAGGGGCAGAGCGGCCTGCTGCAGCAGGGGTGGGGTGTCATTATCTGCAAA